AGTTCTGAGCCTCAGCCTAAGGGGAATTTGCAGCTTTTGTTATCACTTTCTTGCTCCTGAGAACCTATTTTGCCACTATGTGAACAAGCTTACCTCCCGGAGGATGGGAAGGGTTCTGGGCACCCCAGCCACTCCAGCCGATGACCTACAAGTGAAGCCATCCAAGACTAACCAGGCCTAGCCGAGCCAGCCTGGACCGAGATGGGCCCAGCCAACCCACACAATCTTAAGGCATAAGGCATAATTTTTGTTGTTTCAAGCCACTAAATTTTGGGGTGGTATAACAGCAAAAGCCAGCTAACGCAAAAGGTATTTTAGTGTCAATTTTTTTTTTAAATGGAAGTATTGGGGATTGAACCTAGGACCTCATGCATACTAAGCAGACGCTCTACCACTGAGCTATACCTTGCCCCCTTTCCAGTTTCATTTCTATAAGAGCCATTGTGCTTCCCCTTTTTCCTAATTTTTCTATTAGTTCATTGAATCTGTATTCATTTTCAGTGGCTGCCACAGCAAAGTACCACCAAGGCGGGGGTGGGGGGAGCTTAAAACAACAGAAATATATTGTCTCACGATCTGGAGGCTGGAAGTCCAAAGTCAAGGTGTTGGCAGGACTGAGCTCTCTCTGAAACACAGGGATCCTCTCTGGCCCCTTGCTAGCTTCTGGTGATTTTCTGGCTGCCTTGGGCTGGCAGCTCATAACTCCAACCTCTGCTTTCACCATCACATGGCCTTCTCCCTGTGTCTCTGTCTTCAGTGTCTGTCTTCTTATAAAGACACTGGTCATATTGGATTAGGGGCCCACCTCACTCTGCTATGACCTCATCTTGACTAATTACATCAGCAACAAACCTGTTTCCAAATAAGGTCACTTTCTGAGTACTTGGAGTTACTGACTTTTCAACATCTTTTCTTTCCTTCTTTCTTTCTTTCTTTCTTTCTTCTTCTCTTCTTCTTCTTTCTTTCTTTTTCCTTCCTCCCTTCCTTCCTTCCCTCCTTTCCTGGCAGGGGGGGGGTGGGCACACATTTTAACCCCTAATAGGAGCTCTTTACCCATGAGCAGCATTGGCCCCTGGATTGCAATGGTTATTTCTGCTATGGCAGCTAAGCAGTGGAACTCGAACTGCAACGTGCTGGAGGCAGGAGAATCTTTCTTTTCTGCACAAACTCAGCACATTTTTTCCCTCTAGATTCCCTCTTATTCCCAGGTCACCCCAACCCCATGAAGCCAGTGGGAAGCATGGCAAAGAGGCCTGGTGGAGGACAGGATGGAAAGAGATGGGGGCTTCTAGCTCCTGGTTCTTGTCTGCCTGGGGCAGCGACACTCAGCATGGTGGTTATGATCGCTGGCGGCAGAGCCAGACTGCTTGGGTCCAAATCCTGACTCTATACTTACAAGTCATTGTAGGCAAGTGGCTTAACCTCCTGTATTCGTTTGCTATTGTTGCTATGATAAATTACCACCAGCTTAGTGTCTTAAAGCCACAAAAAATGTATTCTCTTATAGCACCGGAGTTCAGAAATCTGAAATGATTTAAAGGGCCAAAATCCAGGGGTTGACAGAGCCCTCCCTCCGGAGGCTGTAGGGGAACAATGGTCTTCTTACCTTTTGTCAGTAGAGCTCATGCTTAGCATGTACGAGGTCCCAGGTTCAATCCCCAGTATCTCCATTTAAAAAAGAAACAGATAAGCAACAAGTTCCTACAATACAGGACAAGGAACTTTATTCAATATCTTGTAATAAGTTATAATGAAAAAGAATATGCATATATATATATATATATATATATATATATATGACTGAATCACTTTGCTGTACACCAAAAACTAACACAAGGTTGTAAATCAACTATACTTCAATTTTAAAAATTGGCTAAATAATAAATAGATTAAGTCCCCCTTCAGGTCTCAGTTTCTCTGTCTGGAAAGTGGAGGAAGAAGGGTGTGGACCTCAGGGGTTTCCTGGCTCTGCCAATCCCGAGGGTGATTCCTCTTCTGTCCCCCACTTTTACAGAGGAAAACTGAGGCCCCAAGCTGAGGTGCCCCCCATTTAGGAGGTGGTCAGGCCAGGATGGGAAAGCTCATGAGTGTTGCCTGTCATGCCTCCTGGAGTTAGGGAGGCAATGGCCACAGACCTGCCTCCACAATCAGCCCAGGACAGAGATGGTCACTTCCTCAGGCAGGTGGCAAGAGGCTGAGGGGGTCCTAGATGAGCCTGCATGCGCATGGTATCCGTCAGTCTCTGTCTTTGCTTTTCTTTCTTTGAAGGCAAGTGGAGGTCATTCTCGATAACTCCATCTGTCAATGTGTGTGTGTGTGTGTATGTGTCTCTGTCCTATTTCTTGCTGTCTCTGTCCTCAGCTCTCAGTTGCTGTTTTCTCAGTCTCTGTCTCTGTCCCTCTCTGATGTCCCGTATCTGTCCGTCTTTGGCCTCTTACTCTCTCACTATCTCTCCTTTCCTGTCTCCCTCTGTCTGTGTCTCTGTTTCTCTTGATCTCTCTCCCTCTTTGTCTCTACACCAGAGTCTCCTCTCCTCAGCCCCGGGAAGCCCCCGAAACCTGGGGGCCTCCCTGGGGACCCAGCAGACAGGTAGGAGCCGGGTGAGGCCCAGGTGAGTCACGAGGAGGAGGGACGTTCCTGCCGCTTTTCTGGGATGAAGCACGGCCCAGCCTCCTGCCTGCGCCCTCCTGTAACACGTCACTGGGCCTCACAAGTGTGTGTCACTTGTGTGTGTGTGAGAGAGAGAACGAGTCAGAGAGAGACATGGACAGAGAGACAGAAAGAGACGGAAAGAAGAAACAAAGATACAGAGATAGAGGGACAGAGAGGGAGTGGGACAGAGTCAGAACGAGAGACAGGGATGGAGAGAGACAAGGCAAGACAGAGACAAAGAAAAAGATCAAAACAGAGAGGGAAAAAAGACAGACAGACACAGACAGGGAGACAGATGGACGGATTTTGGGAGACCAGAGCAGCCTGGGTAGAGATGGGAGGGCTCCCAGACAGAGCTATCATTCTCTCAACAAGGAAGGAAATTGTGGCCCAGAGCAGTGAGGTCATCCTGCCCGGAAGTGGTTACTGCCAGACCACACAGCTCCGTGTGTCTCCAGACCTGAACTTACCTTCCACTGAGAGACGCCACCACCCACCCTAGACCCATTTCATAGCTGGAAAAAGGCAGGATCCAGGGAGTGAAGCCACCCGCCCAAGGCCCCCCAGGAGCAAGTGGGTGAGCTGAGTCTCAATCCACCTGGACCAACACCCCATCTTTCTCTCCCCCCACCTCATATGCATTAACATCCCCTTCAGTCTTCATGCCAGTCCCGGGAGGGGTCCCATTTTCCACATGAGGAAACTGAAGCTCGAGAAGGAGGGTATCTGTTGATATAGGGTGATCCAGCTAGGGGGTCAGCATGACAACTGCCATCCTCAGACTATGACTTCTCACTTCCCTGCACATCCCCCAGAGAGGAACTGCAGGGCCAGAGTCTAGCGTCGGGCACAACAATAATAGTGACGATGATTTTTTAAATTGAGCACGTACTATGTGGCAGGCGCCTCTTTTATGTCCCTAGCCCAACAGCCCTGGGAGGGAGGTACTGAGTTTTCCTTTCCAGATAATGGACTTGAGGCACAGAGAGGTTAAGTAACCTGCCCAAGGCCACACAGCTAATGAGTAGCTGAAATATGAACCCTCACAGTCTGGTCCCAACCCCCACACTCTTAACCACTAAGCTATACTGCCTCTTAGAAGAGAGAATTTCTTTGGGATTTTTCTCACTTTATCTTAAAATGATTACCTTAAGGCTTTGATGAATTAGTAAGAATCACAGTTGTATAATCATTACCATAGTGTAGACAGAGCTATTGCTTATTCACTGCCTACCACTGTGTCCCTCCTGATTCTGTTGCAGTCACACTGGCCTCTCTGCTGTCCCTAGATCTCATCAGGTCCACTCCATGTCAGGGCCTTGGTACTGGCTATTTCCTCTCCCTAGAACTCTCCCTGGACCATCTGTCTGACTTCTTCCCTCACTACATTCAGTCTCTGCTCAAATGCCACCTCTTCAGGAAAGCCCTCCTGGATCACTTGGCTTAAAACCAACCTCGCCTCACTTGTACCCTTGCAGTAACTTCAATCTGGTTTGTTTTTCTGCATTTTACTTATCACTGCCTGACAGTGATAGATTACACAACGGGTATTTACTCCCTACTGTCACAGTCACAAGGGCAGGGATTTTGTTTCCTGCTGTGTTCCCAGCTCCTGGACCTGTGCCTGGCAGGTCCTCAGTAAATGTTGAAAGAATCTGTTGAGCCCTCCATATGGGCCAGTGACTGTTTCAGGCATTTAATTCAACTGCACTAAATTGCTCTGACTGATTAGAAGCATCTTGAGAGGGATAGACTATTCTATTGTTTGCACTTCATTTTCCTTGTTAAAAAGCTTATTCTGAATCTTTACAAACACAGAGGAGACAGGTAAGTTACTTTGATAAAATTGATACAGATATTTTGCTATTTTGCCTTTCTTTTTTCCTAAAGTGTTTTAAGGGAAAGGCAGACATCAATGACATTCAACCTCTAAATATTTCAATGAGCATCTGTAAAAAATACGAAAAATTTCCCTGCATAACCACAAAACCATCATAACAGCAATATCTATTTTTTGGCTAAAGTGTTTTAAGGTAAACTGGAGCCATTATATTATTTCATCCCCAAATATTTCAGCGTCTAAAGGATAAAGACATTTTCCCACACAACCACAATACCATTATCCCTCCTGACGAAACTAACGAAAGCCCTATATGATATAATAATCAGTCACAAATTTCTAGTGGGGAAGAGTTTTAATCCGAGGGCTGAGGTCCCTTGCCCATAGCAGGAAGACAGAACTGAAAATTTGCACCCAGGCAGTCTATGACAGAGGTGACCACGGCCAACATGAGTCAGAGAGGAGCCGCCCCCCCCCACTCCAGGCTGGCCGCACCCTGAGAAGGAAGTTTTTGAGGAAGGAGGGAGGGTGCACGATAACCCACACATCTGGGGCTGACTCGTTCTTTCGCAAAATTTCTGGGAGGAGCCCTCAGGGCCACAAAACTGTCTCCTTCGTGGGGCCAGACTGAGAGGTGCCGGGAGACCACGGAGAGGAGCGGCCGCCGGACATGGGCCGCCCGCTGCTGCTGCTGCCGCTGCTGCTGTTGTCATTTCAGACCAGCATTCCAGGTAGGAGGTGGGGCCCGAGTCCCAGGGGACGGGGTCCGATGGCCCTGAAGGGAGTGGGGAGGGGAGGGGAGGAGAGCTCAGAGTCTGATGAGTTGGAGAAGGGCGCAGTCTCCAGGCCCCCTTTCCTCCAACTCAAATAATTCTCCTGCTGTCTGCAGCCCCACACGATACAGCACTTGGCACATAGCAGACATTCTTTAAGTAATAGTTGAGTGAAGGCACTTAACAACCACGATTTAATGAGTGCACTCTTTATTCTAGGCACTCTCCTAAGCGCCTTCCTTGCAATTTCGAACTGGGCAGGCGGAACAATTTAGCTCACAGAGAAGGAAACGGAGGCACAGAGAGGTGAACTAAGTGACCCGAGGTCACTGAGTAAGTGGGATTCTGACTCCGCAGAGGCTCCCACATCGCCCCTCACTATGTCTGATTCCGCCCCACCACCCCTCACCAACACACACACGGACACGCAGACACACTTGGAAGACAGAGCTCCTTATACAAAAGGGCTAACGAGAGTCAGGCTGAACGTGGCAGAGCCAGGCTCCGGGGACCCAAGCCTTGTCCTTCGAGGAGCCTTCCTTTACATTGTCCTCTAGCCGACATGGCCCTCTCACTCCCTTTCTCTGGAAAATGTAAAAAGGTTTGAAAAACGAAAGGAAATAGAGAAGGAACTGTCAGGGCGGGGCGGGAGGTGGGGGAAGGGGCTGGGTGGTTGGGTAATGAATAACTCGGAAAACTTTCCGGGCCGCGGGAGGCCAAGAACGAGTAATGACTCGGGAGGACTCTGAATTTGGAGTGGGGAAGGGACCACGGAGGAGCTCTGGTGCGCAGGAAAAGGCCTTGGGACAGGGCTAGTGGGCGGGGCTATAGCACTGGGGCGGAGATAGTGGGCGGGGTCAGAATATTGGCGTGGAGCCAATGGGCAGGGCTAATAGCTCGGGAACAGCTAGTGGGCGGGGCGAACACTGCTGAGGACGCCACTTTAGTTGGGGTTAGAATCTCCGCAGGGCTCATGGGCGGAGTTAGAAGTTTGGCGCGAACTACTGGGTGGCGACAGAACGCTGAGGGGAGGCCACCAAGGGGAGTAGAACCTGTGGGCATTAGCGGGGGGCACCGGGAACGAGGGTAGAAGGTAAAGATCGACTGGAGTAGGTGAGGATAGGACACCCCGAGGGGAGCTCACGAGGCGGAATAGACCGAGAGAGGGCAGGTGGGGTTGCGAAAAGCACCTAAATGGGAGCAGGGCTAAAACGTCCAGACCTGCAGAGATGGTGGGGATCGGCCTTTCGGGATAGGTCCTGCGCGCAGACAGGATCACGGGGAAAACGTGCAGGGGCAGGAAGTAGGAAGGACCTGTGGGCCGCGAAGGAACAGTAGGGTAGAAGGCGGAGATAGAACGTTGGTCTAAAGATAGACTGGAATTACAGCCCGCGGGAACCCAGCCTAGGAACCGAAGGGCGGGCAGAAGTGGAGTGTGAACCTGAGTGCACAGGGCCTGGAGGCCTGGTGCTGGTATCGGGGCTCCAGGGGGCGAGAGGCGGATCCTGGTGCGGAGCAATAACACCTGTCCTCTCCTCTCCTCTCTCTGCCCCAGCCTCCTGGGGCCTGCAGTGCATGCTGTGTAAAAGCAACGGGAATTGCAGGGTGGAAGAGTGTTCCCCCGGCCAGGACCTCTGCAGGACCACAGTCCTGCGCATACGAGAAGGTGAGCTCCCCGACTCCAGCGTGGCAGAGAATGCCGAGTGACCAAGAAATCTTACCTCACAAGTAATCAGGGAAATGCGCATGAAAAGGACAAGGAGACCCGTTTCTCGCACACCAGATCGACAAGCACTTAAAAATCTGACAATACTGAGGTCGATGAGGATGTGGTGCTGCCAACCCTGCTATTAGGAGGGTAAACTGGTGCATCCACCAAACAGAGCGATGTGGCAATGTCTGGTACAGATAAAGATTAGCATACCCTACAGCCAGCTGCTGGACTGCTAGGAATATAGAGACCTCAAGCACCTTGGCCACTCGTGACCAGAGACACATGTATAAGAATGTTTTTTAGCAATAATGTTTGTGATATGGAAAACTGGAGACACCCTGAAGTCAGGCGTTAGCAGAGGAGAAACATGACGGTATAATCACACATTTTATACCCACAGCAGCTTAAATGAAGGAACTAGGGCTGCAGGTTAAACATAGATACTTCCCAAAAACAAAGTTGAGAGAGAAAAAAGCATGTTGCAGAATCTGATATCTTTTAATATAAATAGTATAGAGCAAAAAAAAGTAAACAATATACAAATAAACAATAGTATATACTGTTAAGTATACATGGTATGAGAATTACCTACACCTCTGGACAGGGCATAAGGGGAATGGGATTTGGGGAAGTAAGCAGGAGGCTTTAAGTATCTTTTAAATTTGGTATCTTGTTTTAAAAAAATCTGAAATAAATATAAGCAAAATGATAATATTTTATAAAGTTTGATGATGAATGCACAATATTTATTATATCATTCTTAATACTTTTTGGTAAGCTTGAAGCATTTTCCTATAAAGATTCCTATTTGAGGCATCTCCCTGCTAAGTTGACCAAGTTGGAAGGGAGGAGTTGATGGATCGTGAAGGTCCCAGGGATAGGGTTGTCACTAAGAGAAAGTAGGCTCCCAGTGTAGAGGGGTGAGGGAGAGGGTAGATAACTCTAGAAAAGACAGAGTTGGACTCAAGCTAGAGGAGAGGATTGGTAGGGGTCAGCCCTGGGAGTGGGTGACCTTATAACCAAGAGTGTCAGAGGCTGGTTGGGCCCAGAGGAGCCTCTGGAGTGACAAAGAGACTTCCCTCACAGGACATGAGGAGCTGGAGGTGGTGGAGAGAGGCTGTGCCCATCCAGAGAAAACCAACAGGACCATGAGCTATCGGATAGACATGCAGATCATCACCCTTACAGAGTCCATCTGTGGGTCAAACTTGTGTAACCGGCCCAAACCTAGTGAGTATGGCAGCCCTGGCCCTCCCCAACCGCAAACCATCTCCAACCCAGCCTCACCATCATCCTGATCCTGTCCCCAATCCTAGGCTACCCCAACCCCAACTCCATGCCTTACCCCACTACCAACTCCAACTCAAACCTTTCCTTATCCCAAACACATCTCCAGCCTGGCTCCATCCCCATCCTCGGCCCCAACTCAACCTCACTTCCAATCCCATCCCCAACTTCATTTTACTGTCAACATTCTCCAACTCATACCTGTCCTCCTTCCAAACACATCTCTAACCCCATCCCCTAATCAACCCCACCTCATCTCAGACTGTCCCCAATCCCTCTCCCAACTGCAAACTCACCTCCATCCCTAATCCTATCCCATCCCATATGTGTTTTACGTGTGTGTGTGGTTGTTATGTGTAAGAGGCAACACCTGCCTTTAAGAAGCTACACACACACACACATACATACACTCAAAAGGTAAGTGAGGTATCTCACTGATGTTTTGCCATCTAATTTTTTCATGGGGCAGGAGATGGTTCAGGCAGTAGGTGCTTAGTTTCTTGATCCCTTAAGAAGGGACCAAGATACAAAGACCAGAGAGATACCAGCGACTGAAAGTCCTTAAGGGAAGTGAAAAAAGGAGGGAATCAGACAGGGTGCTGTGGGCTTGGGAAGTCCCCGGGAATACACGATCCTTGAGTTGGGTGGCGAAAAATGATGTCAAGAAAGTTCACAAAGCCTTTGATTGTTTCATGGATTTAGGCTCTGGTCAGTTTAAGAAAAAGACTTCAAAAGGCTCAAATTTCCCCAAATTCTCACAAGAGAGGAAGGATGGGGAAAGAATGGACCCTTGTTGCCTGGTCAGGCTGAGATTCCTCTTTCTGGCCCTAGTGAGGAAGGAAATAGGTGAGAAAGCCATTCTCGTCACAATGACGTCAGTAAGCGGAGGGACTTCATCTGTGCTGGGGTTTTGTTTGTTCCTCATCCCGCCTGACTCTGTTTGATTCTCATTCATCCTGACCTCAAACTTTCATTTGTTGATGGGGACTGATTCAGACGTTTGTTTTCAAGGAAGTGACAAGAGAGAGGATGCCAGCTTCCTCTCCCTGTTAGATGTGCTGAAGGAAAGCACTAACATTGAGTCTAAGTAATACTTGTAACCAGAGATCATAGTCCAAATATTTAACAGTCCTGGTCATTGCAGAAGGCATTGACCAAGCAGAACAGGCTCCCCTGGAGCCTCCTGCTGGGTCTGGTGTGGGTCTCAGGGACATGTGGGTTCTAAAGAGAGTTGGGTGTGGTCAAGGGTCCACCAAGGAGCTTGGGCAGCAGCTGTTAATTCAGTAATTTAACAACTGATAAACCTATATCAGCCCCATTTCTAATGCCATCGTACCCTGCTTGTGGTGACTAGAAGGTTGGTTAAACCGCATCCTGCCCTTATGTGATACTGAGGACACAGCAAGACCAAGGCAGCCTTGGGCCCCATGGTCCACTGTGTTTTTGGGTATGTGTGTGGGGGGAGGGTGGTGGTAACAGACTCATCACCAGACAGTGACTGCCCAGATGATTCAGAGCTGGGATAGGGGAGCACAGGCAAAGGAGTCAGGACCATGATCAGAGAAACAGACCAGAAAGGTCAGAGATGTAACAGGGAAGCACAGTTCAGGGCTGAGATAGGAGAAACAGAGGCCGAAGTGATCAGGGCTGAGATGAGTGAAGAGTAAGGGCTGTGGACCCTAGAGGAGATACTTGATTCAGGTCAGAGAAGGTTTCCTACAGGAAGCATCAGCTAACCTAGATCTTGAGGGTTGAGTAGGAGTCAGACTGGTCAAAAGACAAGGGAAAGGATTTTTCAGATGGAGGGAGCAACAGATACAGAGGCCCAGAGGTGGGTGAAAGTAGCATGGCTGGAGGAAGGGAAAGATGGGACAAGAGGAACTGATGAAATTGGCGAGGTCACATTACATAGGACCTTCTAGGCTGTGGTGGGAAATAGAGATTTTATCTGGGGAACAGTGGGAGGTCATGAAAGGGTTTAAGTAGAGTGTGCCAAGATCCGGTTTGTATTTTTGAGCAAATTATTCTGACCTCTGAGTGGAAGGTAGATTGCAGGGAAGCAATGATGGAAAGCGGGTAAATGAGAGAGGACCAACTTGGAGGTAGGTGAGGTTGTCCAGATAAAGAAAAAAGTGTCCACTGTGCCCATGGAGAGAAGTGCAAGGATTTAAGGGCTATTTACAAAGCAGGACTTTGCGATGGATTAGACGTAAGGAGTTGGTTTGCAGTTCTGGTCATGTGGAGTCACTTGTATCACACCAACCCCCTTGCCAATAACAGCTATAAACCCTGGACAAACTATAAACAATTTTTTTTTGGTTGGGGAGGTAATTAGTTTGTTTTTTTTAACGGAGGTACTGGGGATTGAACCCAGGAACTCATGCCTGCTAAGCACGCACTCTACCACTGAGCTATACCCTCCCCTGCCTCCCCATAAACAATTATTGAAGTAACTCAAGAGCAGCAAATGAAGAAAGGAAGTGGAGGTGCTCCAATCTTTGAAATAAGGGAAGCACAGAAGTTGAATTCCACAGACAAGCTGGCTTTTTCCTTGAGTGCACTTTCCAGCTCTCTGCTGTGGAAGGGAAATAGAACACAAATAGAAAACGATCGTTGCTAGACTGAGAAGGCAGAGGTTGGAGTCTGGGGCTGCCAGAGTGTCTGGAAAAATGAGAAGTAAAATCCTAGAATGCATGGCACCACAGGAAAGGGAGTCCCCAAATCTGCAAATTTCCTTCAGTGCGTTGGCAAGCTGTACATGCATAGGGTGAGACTCCAAGAAACTCTACAGAAAATAGTCTCTGGGAAGCTACAGAACTGAGCAGAGACTCCAGCAGGCATATGATGCTGGGGGAACGAAGTTGCCAAGTTGGAAAGAGAGGTCTCAGGCTTCCCTCTGAGACCACATGCTAGGAGTTAGGGCAAAACTGAAATAGACCAGACCCCAAAATGCCTACATCTGATCTTCGACAGGAAGAAAACTGAATCCTCTTTGGAAGAAGATAACATCATTTAGAGCCGTGACAAATTATCATCTATGTCTGGCATCTAAAACGTACAAGACATCCTGAAGAAAATAGAAAGAACCAGCTGACCAGAAACCAAGAGAAAAATCCCACAGTAAAAACAGACATATCATGAATCAGATATTGGAGTTACTAAACAGGGAACTTTAAAATAGCAATGATCAACATAATCAAGAAAACAGAGGAAAGGATAATTTTTAGTGGATATCTGGAATCCATTTTTAAGATGAGTCAAACAGGAAACAGAGAACAGTGACTAAAATTAAGAACTCAATAGATGGGCTTCGTGGAGATGAGAAACAGCCAAGCAAAAGGATTACAGAACTTGAAGACAGGGAAGTGGGAGTATTCAGACTGATGCCTAGATATGGAGGATCAAAGAGTCTGCCAGGTTTCTACCCTGAGGGACTGGATGAGACCATCTCAGAGATGTGGAATTCAGGAGAAGGAGCGATTTGGAGAAGATGGAGAGTCCCATTTGGGGCATACAGAGATTCAGGTGTTTGACAGATGGCCAGGAGACCTCCAGGAGGCACTTGGGGGTACAGGTGTGGGGATGTGAAGGCCGCCATTTTGGCAATAATGGTAATTCATGCTTCCATTTTCATGGGAGTTCACGTGAGAGGACATGGGTTGTTGGCCTTTCAGTTATTCTTCTTTTGGGGATGGTTGGTGAGAAAGATTTGGCTTTGGCTATAAATGATTCACCGAATTACAGCTGCTGGCCTGCCAGTTGAGAGCCTTGGCTGAGACAGCCCTCTAATTTCTCTAAGACTTGGCCCAAACTCAACTTGGACATCTGGGGTCAGGAAGGGGAGGGCATGCCAGGCTTTAGAGCAGTGTAAGCCAAGATCTGGGCAGAGGAATGACTGGTGTTTCCAGGGAAAATTAACTCTTAATCCACTTGGCCTGGATTGGGAGGTCTGTGTGAGAGGCAAAGTTATCACAGCTCCATCACATGAAGCTTTGACCTCTGACACAATTGGGTAGTGTTTTAATTATCTATTGCCACATTACAGATTGCCTTAAAACTTTAAAAAAAAGCATTATTTCACAAAGTTTTTGAAGGTCAAGAATCTGGGAGTGGTTTAGCTAGGCAGTTCTGGATCTTTCATGAGGTTGTAGTCAGAGTTTGACAGTGGGCTGCAGTCATCTGAAGGTGCCCAAGGTAGTGTCTCTCATGTGGATGATCTGCTCCCATGGCTTTGGCCAAGGCCTCTGTTCTTCACCACATAGACCTCACGGTGGGGCTGCTTCAGTGTCCTTACAACATGGCAGCAGCTGGTCTCCCCCAGAGCAAGTGATTGAAGAGCAAGTGATTGAAGAGAGAGCCACGCAGAAGTGGTGATGTCTTACATGATCTAGCGCAGAAGTCACACACGTCATATCCACAATATCCTATTAGTTCCACAGGTCTGGTCAGCTCTATTCTTTTTTTGTTTTTAATTTATTAAGCAGCTATTTTATTTTATTTGGGGGTTTTGGGGGGACTAATTAGGTTTTTTAAATTAATTTTTTAGTGGAGGTACTGGGGATTGAACCCAGGACCTTGTGCATGCTAAGCACACACTCTGCCACTGAGCTATACCCTCCCCTGAGCTCTATTATTTATTGGAAGGGACTACACAAAGGCACAGGTATAAGGAAGCAGGGATCATTGGGGGCCATCTTGGAGGCTGGCTATCTCAGGGAACAACATAAGGAATTGTTCATTCATTCATTCATTCATTTAACAAATATTTATTGAAGATCTTCTCTGGCCCTGGCCCCTCTGCTGGGTCATGTTGGGACATAGTAGTGACCAAGACAGCCCTGGTCCTACCCTCCTGGGATGGGCTCCAGTAAGGGAAACAGACTTGGCACCAGACAGGGATGATCCAGAATGGGCAGGGCTGGAAATGGGGAGCCCAGTAGGGCACCTGATACAGCCTGGGAGGTTGAGGAGGGCTTCTTGGAGGAGGTGAAATTGGAGAAGATGACCCCTGAAGAATGAGTAGGAGATAGGGAGAGTGTTCTAGGCAAAGGCAACAGCAGATGCAAAGGCTGGATGACACGCAGCAGATACACTCGGGGACTGAGGGAAGTCGGTGTGGAGCAGAGTCTGAGGGGGTAGTGGAGGTAGATGAGGCAGTAAAGGTGGCCAGGACCCAGCCTTTGATGGGCCTTGAATGCTGCACTGGGTTTCTTGGATTTAATTCTGAGAGCACTGGGGACCCATGGAGGGGTTTTGAGCAGAGGAGAAGCAGGGTTGGATTTGAGTATTAGAAGCATCCTTCTAGGGCCATGTGGGATGCTCTGGGGTGGGAAGGGCAAGAATGGAAACCAGGAGGCCAGAGAGGAAGCTGGTTTTGAAGGAGGTCTGACCTGATGATGAAGCTGGAAAGGAGGGGATGGATTCTAGAAAGTTTCAGGAGATGGAGTGGGCGGAACTTGATGACTGGCTGAAGGGTGAGATTAGGAGGAACTGATACTGAGGGAGCTGGGTCTCTAGGGCTCTTCCCCAGAGTCTCACCCTCCTGCTCCTCCCCAAACAGGTCGGCCTCCTATCTTTCCTCGAAGGCATTACCTCGAATGTGCTTCCTGTGCCTCATCAGACCTGAGCTGTGAGAGGGGCTGGGACCAGAGCCTGCAGTGCCACAACCCTGGAGAACAGTGCCTGGAGGTGGTAACTCACCGGAGCCTAGAAGGTGAGTCCCAACTTGCCAATCCACGCCTCCCTGCTTTGCTCCTCCCCAAGGCTGCACTAAACAACCCCAAAAGAACAGGGATTTAAGCAAGGTACAAAGTTAGTACTCACACAAAAGATCCAGTGATAGGAAGTCCAGGGCCACTAGGACCGTTCCACAGTCACCAGGAATCCAGGTGCCTTCTCATTTCTTACATATTGCTTCCATTCTCAAGATTGCCTCATAGTCCAAGATGGCTGCTGGAACTCGAGGTCTCAAGACCAAGTTCCAGGAAAGAGGAAGAGGAAAAGAAGGGGCAAAAAAGGGGCACACCTCCTTTTGTAACGATTCTCCTTTCTGTAAGTCCCATAAAATTTTTCTACTGTAGATCACACTGACCAGAATTTAGCCACATGGCTACACCTATGGAGGCTGAAAATTGCATCTTTTGGCTGGAATATATGGCTGCCCCAAAGAAAATGAGGGTCTTACAATGAAGAATGAAGCAGAGGACAGACAGTCAACTGCTGCAGTGGGCAAATCCAGTCTCAGCCCACATTAGCAATCTGACCACCTCCTCTGTCCCCTACAGAGAGTCCAAGGGATGAGCGCCACACCCGGGGCTGCGGCAACCTTCCAGGCTGCCCAGGCCCAACCGGCTTCCACAACAACCACACCTTCCACTTCCTGCGGTGCTGCAACACCACAAAATGCAATGGGGGCCCAGGTAAGAGTCAGGGGATCCCCAGGATCGGGGCGAGGAGGTATGCTCAGGCTGACTGTGGCTCGCTGGCAGGCAAACCCTCCTCTCTGTTTCCTTCTCTGAAAAATGGACCTATCAAGCCCTCCCTCAAAGAAGGATTCTGTGAGAAATTCAATGAAACTAGCAAATCTTCATGAAGACCTGCATCCTCTTTTATGCTCCTACATCCTCTTCAGTCCTTCCACGGCTCACCACCTGGTCCAAGCCACCATGGCCTCCCACCTAGATTGCTGCAATGACCTCCTTGCTGGTCTTCCTGCTGCCTCTCCTGCAATGTTCAACACAGCTGCAAGAGTGGTTTTTTTTAATGTAAATCAGATCATGTCACTCTCCTTCCGCAAACACTTCAATGACTTCCCCTTGCTTTTAGAATGAAACTCAAAGGCTCTCCTAGACCCTATGTCTGCCTCATGGTCTTCATCTCATTTCTACAACTGCCAAATTCCATCCTGCCTCATGGCCTTTGCACATGCAGTACCCTGACACACAATCTTCCCCAGGAGTTCACCTGACTGGCTCCTTCTCATTTGTTGAGTCTCAGCTTTAAAGCGTCATCCTCAGGGAAAACTTCCCTATCTCTGCCCTCCAGTATCATCTAGATCATTTGTGTTACTCTGTCTCTGTAAACCAGTACTGTCCAACAGAACTCTCCACGGTGATGGAAAGGTTCTATATCTGTACTGTCCAATATGGCAGCCCTGGCCACCTGTGAGTACTGATTTCAATTTAAATGTAAACAACCACATGGGGCTGGTGGCTATCATATTGGACAGTGTAGCTCTAAATTGTAAGTCCTCTGAGGGCGGGGACTGTTTTGTCTTACCCAGTACCTGGATAGATACGGGTGAGTGGGGAGCTGGAAGTTGGGATTTCTCTCACAGGCCCTAGAGAACCCTCCAAAGAGGGTGATGTTCAAATGCCTGACCACAAGGGGGCTGCACGACATCGCGCGCGGGCTGGGGAGGTAACGCTGTGAACCCTCTGTGCTAATTTCCGTGGTTTCTGGGTCACTTGTCTTCTCCCAAGTCCTGGAGCTTCAAAACCTGCCACTGAATGGTTTCCAGTGTTACAGCTGTGAGGGGAATAGCACCCATGGATGTTCCTCCGAAGAGTCTTCCCTCACTGAATGCCGAGGTCCCATGAATCAATGTCTGGAAGCCACAGGCACTAATGGTGAGGCCCTTTAAGAGGCTGGGAGAGGATGCTTAGTGGAGGGGCGGGGGTTCTGCAAGAGGTTAACTTCCCGTTAAGCTGGACTTAATTGAGGTGGACCTTCCTGTTGGAAAAGGTAGGACTTCTTTCAGGAGGGTGCAAAGAGTAGTAAGGAATTAGGACTTGTTCATTGGAAAATGGTCATTTTGGCCACAGAGATGCGGACTTCTCGGGGGTGGGGCTTCCCCTAGGTGGGCGGGCCTTCCTGCGGACTTGGTGGGATTCCATCCCACGAAGTCCTGGGCGGATTCTAATATTCCAGGGGTTCTCAAGCTTTTGGGTCTCAAAATGCTTTCGTGCTCTTAAAAATTATTGTTTGTGTCAGTTATATCGATAAATATTTACTGTATTCGAAATTAAAACTGAGAGATTTTGAAAGATGTATTTATTCATTTTAAAGAACAATTGAAAACTCATTGCATGAGAGCGTAACATATTTTTATGGGGGTTGGGGGAAGATATTTTCCAAAATAAAAAAAACTGAACGAGAAGACTGGCATTGTTCTGCCATGTTGCAATCTCTTTAACATCTGGCTTAATAGAAGACAGCTGGATTCTCCTGTCTGCTTCTCATATCTTGTCTGTTGCAAGATCGCGTGTCTTGAGGTTTCTGGGAAACCTATTGTACACTTGTGAGAGCAAAAAAAGCCATATGACGTTTTAGTATTATTATGAGAATACTTTTGACTTCGCAGATCCCCTGGAAGGGTCAGAGGGAACCCCAGGGGGTCCCGGGACCACACTTAGAACTGTTGCTTTCTCGGGGCAGCATTCACAAGGTGGCAAGTCGCCCAGGGATTCCAGGCCAGGCCCGAGAGCTGGGAGCCTCACACGATCTTCTCTCTCCTCAGGGCTGGGGAACCCAAGCTACACCATAAGAGGTTGTGCAGCCCCCTCCTGGTGCCAAGACCTCCAGGTGGCTGAAGCCTTCGGCCTCACCCATGTCAACGTCTCATGCTGTACCGGAAATGGCTGTAACAATCCAGCCCTGGACATCCAGCCCCGCATTGGGGGCGCCCACCGGTCTGGCCCCGCTCACCTCAACCTCATTGTCATCCTGCTTGTGACCGCCCGACTTTGGGGAGGCGTTCTCCTCTGGACCTGAACCCCACATTCCTCCTGCCCTGGCTGGATCCAGGGGTCCCCTTTGCTCTTCCCTCAGCTCCCATCCAAGCAGACTTGCTGTGTGACCTCAGGCCAGTATGCTGCCCTCTCTGGGCCTTAGTTTTCCCAGCTGTCAAAACCCCTATCTCATAGAGCTGTGAGAACCAGAGGAGAAAAGCTAGAGAAGGCTGCGGGCCAGCAGGTGAGAGCTCTTGTGATAATTAATATTGTTGCCACTATCGTTATTATTAATTAATATTTGTTTTATTTAATGTTTTATACTTAAATAAAGTTTTTTGTACCAGTGAACAAGGCCAGATCTACCCTTTTCCATAGACAATGAATGAATGGCACCTTTCCTCAGGCTCCTAGAATTAGGGGTCACATTGTAGGACCCAGACATTCAAGGCCCCAGCTTTGGAAGCTACCCCATGTAAGTTTCTGCCCTAAGCTGTTCCCACCTCTATTTCTGGGCTCCAGATGCAACCTTCCAACTCACTCATCCAAGCACTAATCTTCTAGTCTCTTCTCCCAAACTCCAAAGGTCAAGACTACTTTGTTCTAAGGAGATGTGACTGCATTTCCTGGGGGGCTCTGAGACAGGAGATCAAATAGGACATAACCCCTGGATGCCCTGCAACGGGGAGTAAGGATAGAACTACATTTCCCTGCTGCTCTGGGGGCAAGAGATAAAGGCTGGGCTGTATTTCCTAGGATGCCCTCAGACTGACTGAGAAAAGGACAGAACTAGCATTTCAATGGCACTCTTTGAGCGCAACATTGAAGAATGGGTGTTTCCCATGATTTGCTGAGGCAAACCCACAGAGACAAAAAAAAAAATACGTTCCCATAAGCCCAATGGCATATGAAGAAAAAGAACATTTTCCATGGTATTTGGGGGCTGATGAGGGACAACGTTTCTTTTTAGGATCTCCTCCAAACAACAGCCCCCAACTGTCATTGTGGTAGCTTAAAAAGGTGGGGTCGATATCTCCACCTCTTGAACATGAGGGGTTCTGTGACTGCTTTGGCCAATAGAATGTGGTGGAAGTTATGCGACGCCATGCTCTGGGCCCAGGCTTTAAGAAACTGTCCAGCTCTGGGGGAAGCCAGCTGCCACATCAGAGTCTTTCTGCCCTGCTCTGAGGACACCCAAGCTACTTGTGCACGGACGCCCACTGGAGAGAGAGCCTGAGATGTTCCAGCCATCTCAGCCCAGGCACCCGCCAAGTGGGCGCAGGAGCAACCCTGAACATGGCAACCTCGGCAGATGTAACGTGCAGGAGACCCAGGAAACCCAACTGTTCTCATTTCCTGCAGTCGCCATGATAAATTACTGCCAACTTACAGATGAGGTGGCTTCAAACAACAGAAATTTATTCTCTCAGACTTCTGGATGCTAGAAGTCCGAAATCAAGGTGTTGGCAGAGCCATGCTCCTTCTAAAATCTCTGGGGAAGAATCCTTCCTGGCCTCTTCCTCGCTTCCGGGGGTTTTGCCGATGGTCCTTGGTGGTCCTTGTCTTGTGACTGCATCACTCCAGTCTCCACCTGTGTCATCATGTGGCCTTCTTTTCTGTGAATATGGCTATGTGTCTCCAAATCTCTCTCCCCTTATCAGGATACCAGCATTGGATTTAGGGGCCCACCCTAATCCAGTAGGACCTCAACTGTTTTTTTTTAATGGAGGTACTGGGGGTTGAACCAGGACCTCATGCATGCTAAGCATGCAGTCTACCACTGAGCTATACTACCCTCCTCAGTATGACCTCATCTTATTCACATCTGCAAAGACCCTACCTAGTTCCACATAAGGTCACATTCATAGAACCTGGGTGTTAGGGTTTTAACATATATTTTGGGGAGACACAATTCAACCTGCAACATCAGGCAACAGCCAGAACCAAGGTTTCAGATCTGTGGCCCCAGATGAATCAGCCTGTCCATCTCCAGCTGTTGAAGGCAGCCCATTTTAGCCCCAGTCCATTGTGGAGCAGATAGGCACTGATCCCACTGTGCCTCGCTCAAATTCCCAACCCACAGAATCACAAAGTAAAGAGGTTATGGTTTTACAAGGTGGAGTTTGGGGGTATTTTGTTATGCTGCAGTGGTTGGCTGGAACAGTCACTTGCTTGTGGGGTTTTTTTGGCTAATTTTCCCCACTATAATCTCCATACAGGGCAGGGCCTTTCATTTGCTCACTACTGTATTCCCAGTACCTAGAATAGTGCCCAGGATACATCAGGTGACACAGAAAGGAAGGAGGGAAGGAAGGAAAGAACACATCTCCCATGGTATCTTATGACAAAACCTGGGCTAGGGCTATATCTCCCTTGATGCTCTAAGGTGGAGATGAGGCTAAAATGACATTTTCTGAGATGCTTCATAATGAAAACTGAGGCTAGTTTCACCTCTCCCGTGACGCCCTACAGCAGAGATTGTGTTACCAAATTAGACAAGAGACCCTAGTGGAACCAAAATGCCCTGGTTCGTCAGGGATTTCTTTCCTGCTCAGGTTCTCCCTGCCGATAATGAAACGGAGTTTGGTGCAAGCAAGACAGTCTTTTGTTCAATGGTCAGAGAATGGAGAAGGGGAGCTCATGCTCTAAAGGCACCTTTTCCCTGATTACTCACAGGGACAAGCTTTTTATAGAAAAGGGTGACAGTTATTGGGGACAGGGGTCTTGTGTCATTCTGATTTCTGGAAATGGGTGGCGATTTCCCAGAATGTAGTTCAGGCCTCTTTTCCACCCTGGTGTGGATGGCCCTTTGGAGTCTGGGTCAGAATTGGGTGGAACCAATATGGCGGGGGTGGGTGGAGAGCTTACTATTACAATGAGATGGTAATGAGCTGTAGAGTGAGCTTTGTCCCAGTTTGGAAGTTCACAGCTTATACCAGTTGCTTGTGGTTAGGCCCTCTTGTTCTTGTCCTGTAAACACAGCTAGAAGACAGAATCAGTTTTGGTGTTCTGCAAGTTTGCCCAGAGGGAGATTTTTATTAGAAGAGATTTTTATTATCGCGGGGCGGGTGTGGGGGACACTTCCTTGCCTCCTTGCCTAAGACAGGTTTACTTGTTTTATAGAAACAGTTCAGGGGCCCTTGGGTTGCTCTCCTGGGTGACATCTGGAGCCTAGCTCCAGTTGATACCCCACAGCAGAGACTGGAGGCTAGAAATACATTTCCCATGATGCCTTACAGCAGAAACTGAGGCCAGGACTGCATCTCCCATGAGACCCTATGGCAGAGACTGGAGGCTAGGACTGTATCTCCCATGATGCCCTACAGTGGGGATCAAAGGATAGAAATACATGTTCCATGATGCAGAGACTGAGGCTAGAGATACATTTCTCATAATGTCCTACACCAGAGCTAGTGATCAGGACATCATCGTTAATGGCTCCCAAGTTTTTGTTCAGGGATCTCGGTTGTAAGAAATAAAACCGGTTTAAGCTGACTCAAGCGAAAAAGACCACGTTATTGGAAGTTTAGAATCCAAGCAAGAGCTCGGTCTCTGGGCTGCACCAGGGACAAGAAACAGAATTGAAAAGCTGTGTGAAATCAATGTTGTCTCCGTTTTGCAAAATCTGTCTCTCTGTCTCTCTTTGTCACTCTTCCTCTCCTCTGAATGTGTGGTTTCCCTTGTGGCTGGGCTTTCATTTTCTTTTTCTTTTTTTTATAGTGATTTTTTCTTTTTTGAGGTGGGTTAGGTAATTAGGTTTATATTTATTTTTAAAGTTGGTACTGGAGATTGGATCCAGGACCTCATGATGCTAAGCACGCATTCTATCACTGAGCTATACCCTCCCCGCCTTCACTTCATTTTTCTATCTCTTCACAGACTACCTTCGTCTGTGTCAAACATAGTAGCCAAATATGACCTTGAAATGTCAAGTATTAAGAACTACTTGTGTCTGGTTCTAAAATTTTAAAAGACAGACTCTCCTCTGATGTGGCGCAGTTTGGGTCAGGGCTCTGCCTACAACCCGCTTTGCTACGGCTGGGGAAGTTTACATCAAAGCCATCAAATACAGTTTTTCAGGTTGTAAACAGGCATCCACTGCTCCTGCAGTTCTCATGGTACACAGCCCACTCGGCCAGAGCTGGGGAAACAACCTCTGTGAGAGAGATCCTACCACAAAGATGGGGGAGCAAGTGAAAAAGAAGACTACCACTTAGAATGTTTTAATCTGCAGGCAGGGCTGCTTCCACATATTCTGCATGAATTACAGGCAATATGGTGGCCAGGGCTGTATTTAAGAGGAGATCCAACTCAAAATGGTTGAAACAGAGAGGAAATTGATTATCTCGCAGAACAAGAGATCATAGGTTAGGACAGTTCCTGTGTTGACTAATTCAGTGTTTCCATTATATCCCAAAGGATCCATTCAAGCGTATCCAACTCATGGCCTCAAGATGGCTGCTGCAGTTCCAGGCATCACACCCACAGTCAGAGGCAATAACAAAGGGCCATCTCTTCTTGGGTCTCTTTTTTAAAACAAAGAAAGCTTATCCCCAAACTTCCAGGCTGACTTGCCCCCCTCACGTTTTATTTGCCTGACTTGTTTCATACCCTCATGCCTAGAGTATTCACTGGAAGGGGGCATGGAACCACAATATTTGGCAAAGTATGTTCTGACCTCACTCCTGGGGCTTCCCCACATCATCTGGCTACTAAAGAAAGGTTTATGCCTAAACAAAATCAGGATTCTCTAAGGAAGGAACAAAGGGGCAAGGAATATGTATTAGGGGGGAAAATGAGTCTTCTTCCTGTATACGGTGGGGAAAAACCCAGTTCTTCCCTGCTGTGTCTTTCTCCTGTGTGTCTCCTTTGCTCTCACACCACTGCTAAACTCACAACACCCTGGTCACCAAATGTGTGGGGTTTTTTCCCCTCACCCAGCAATTCTTGGTGACACTGGCTGGGTGTTCTACAGCTTAGCTTAATTCTAACACGATCTACTTGGAAACAGCATCTGATCCCACAGGTTAAAGGCTCAGTCCCACACTCCCCACTTCAGATGACAATCGAAAGTCCAGATTGTTACCTGTGCTTCTGACTGGCTATAAATCAGACCTCCCCTTCAGGTTTGATTAATCTGCTGGAACATCTCACGGAACTCAGGAAAATGATTACTTATGTGTACTGTTTTATTATAAAGGATCTATATCAGCATCCAGATGGAAGAGATGCATAGAGCAAAATGTGTGGGAAGGGGCACCAAGCTTCCATGCCCTCTCTGGGCAAGTCACTCTCCCAGCACCTGCATATGTTCACCAACCCAGAACCTAAACCCCACACCACTGGGATTT